GTTCAAAATGTATTTCAGTGCAATACTGGCAAAAAAATAAATAAATCAGGATTCATTGTGGTGTTAAGTGATAACGGCCCACACTGTGTCCTCTCCTCTCAGAGATTACTTTGCTGCTTGCGAGGGACAGATTATTTTCCCACTGTTTGCTGGAGGAGAGTTAATTGTAGCTGACGTCTGTTCTGGCCGTTCAGTTTCTGCTGGTGTTTCACATCATTAAACAAGTTTGTAGTGTTACTGTGTCTTCACTTTGTTGCTGCACACCTTGCAAATGGCCCAGATCTGCTCAAGGTCAGATTTCACCAAACCAAACCAGTTCCCTACAACAGAAGCTGAACTCTCTTTCTGTCATTGTTACGTTATGGACTCACTCTCACGTGATAGTGAGAGTGTGTCTCATACAAAACTATGTCATCACGCAGCACTGATGGTGTCAAATATTAATCTGTGACTGTTTTTCTGATGATTATTCGCGCTCTATATGATTTTGCACAAGCCTATCATTGAGCATGAGAAAAACAGGCACTATGTGTCCAAATATAAACATAATTACTTCCAGTATTCAAGGTTCAGTGTTCAGTTCTAGGTTTTAGTCCTTTATTGGGTTAGGCTATATTTGCAAAAAAATGAATCACAAATAATTGTAGTATTTAGCCGATAAAGATTAATATGACAAATAATCCCCTGGAGTCCCTGGATGCCCTCATGTCCTGGTCACATGGCTAATTTAAATTACTCTAGTGGAGAAGTTTTTCTTTCCATAAAAATCTGTTCCAAATTGTGTAAAAAGTACATACTTCAGGCTATACATCAATTTTTAAAATGTGTTGATACGTCAAGTAAAACTGGAGCTATGATAAATAAATCACAGAACTTTTTCTAAAATGTTCGTTATATTTGAAGCGGAGAGGAGCATCGAGCCGACTGACCGGGGAAATCTCCAGTCAGTCTGCCTGGTGGCATTAAGTTAAAAAAGTTAATTGCACACGATACGATTTTTGCCGAACCCTAGTCCTTTATACCTACTTTTATATATAAACATACTTACAAGCATAAACTACATACCGCATAGTGGTAGCATTTAAGAGCCCTGCACGTACGCATTGCATCATTGGTGGGCACGATGGATAGCTCTTCATCAGAGCTAAACAACAACAAGAAAATCTGAAGCTCCTACATTGTATGTCCAGGCACCCCCTGAGCCCCCTCCTCAAATATGGGGTCTATAATAAAGCCACTGGCTGGCACAGTGTAGGTTGGACACATCTATATTCCTACTAAATTTCGCACTGATTGGTGCAGCCGTTTCTGTGCTACCGTTGACCAAAAATCTCTGGGGGGAGRGATAAATAAAATAAATAAATAAAAATAAACTGTACGAAAACAATATGATCCTCACTTCACGTGCAGGGGTCATATTTAATTTTATTGTTACTATTGTTTGACGTTAAGGTAATAAAATGTCCTCAACATACAGTATAATGAAGAATGAAGATAGTTCAGCCTAAGTGTATGTCAAAGAACTGAAGTATCAATCTGGACCACTATGCTTTACAAAATACTGACTTCATGTGTGAGCATTAGTAACTATAAAAAGGTCAGTCACTTTAAGTAACACTAGACTTTTAAATTAAATAAATCTGTCACAGGAGGTTTTGTCTGCCTGACAATAAAAATAATGGCCCGTTCTCGCTCTCTCCACACAGAAACGATGGCGTTCTCACCTGTCCGCAAAGAAGCAAGAAGATTATGACCCCAGTGCTGTGGAGGGGGCAGCCCTGTGCCTGCAGACACACTGGCGAGGCTACAGAGAGCGGCAGAGGCTCCGGCAGCAGAAGGAGGCYGCTCGGGTCCTGCAGGTGGCGTGGAGGTCCTGGCTCTGTCGGCGCTGCGCGGCGGCCGTGGTCATCCAGGCGGCGTGGCGCTGCCATCGATCCAGAGAGGACTACTTGCGTCTGTGTGACTCCGTGATACGGTTACAGGCGGCGAGCAGAGGTTTCCTCACCAGGCGGAGGTAAGCTAAGCTGCTAAGGCTCTGAGGAGAAGTGTAGATTAGGCAGGAAAAATCCAACTTTCAGGCTCAATGCTCTCAAAATAGCTTTGGAAAACCAGATTAATCTTTGCACCAGCAGCATGTTTGGTCTTTGTTCAGTGTGTGAACAGACTGGTAGGAGCATACTGTTGTACAAGAACTCTAAAGCAAAGCAGCGCTACAACCAGCTGAGCTGCTGAGAGCAAGTCTTTAACTCTAACTGTAAAGATACCTTCAGGTGGTTTCATGTTGAGAACWGGTCAGGTTCTAACTGTCCCTCTCCATTCACAGCTTTAAAGAACTGAGAGAACAGAGACTGAGAGAAGAGAAGGAGGAACAAGAGGAGCTCCTTCAGCTCCAGAATGGCCAGGTGAGCGTCTCACCTGTAGAGGAGGAGGAGTCGCCGCCTGAGAGCATCATGGGTCTGGACCTCAGCATGTGGGAGGATCGTTCCTACGAGCAACGGGAAAAGAGCCTCCACGATCTCAGCACCCACAGGAGCGCAGCCACGGTGGAGGACAAGGAGGAGGATGGAAGTTCAGGGGGGAAAGAGGAAACCGAAGCTCCCGCCTCGGTGCGAGAGAGGCCGAGGGCTGGTGACGAGCAGGGCCCCAAAACCACCCGGGCCAAGAGGGAGAGCCGGCGGCTGCGAGAGCTGGAGCAGGCCAAGTTCAGCCTGGAGCTCCTCAAGGTCCGAGCAAACAGCGGTGGAGCCTCGTCCCCCTCTGAGGAGCGGCGCTGGTCTCTGGAGCTGGTGGCCCCCACCAGCCCAACCGTCCAGTCCCCGCAAGGCACCCCCGACAGCCAGAGCTCCAAAGGCAGCTTTGAGCTCCTCACTATGGACGAGGAGCCTCTGAAGGCTACGGAGGAGGTGATGGACATGGAGAACCCCTTCTCTCCTGTCCAATCTATTGCTCCAGTGTCAGATTTTGATGTGGAGTCCGGTCCATCGAGCCCCAAACATCCTGAACCTCACGGGACGAAGTTTACAGATGATGTTAATCCTGAAAATAACCAGAGCCCGACTGGACTGGATCTGTCTGCTCCCCCTGCCCCCTCGTATCCTTCCAAAATGGAGAACTACCTCCCGACGTTTTATGTTCCTGCCCGTGAAGGTAGCACAGCAGCCTCCCAGCAGCAGCAGCATCATCATCATCATCAGACTACTGAAGAACCTCAGAGGAACAAAGAACCGGCTGTTTCTACAACCACCTCTGCCATTCTGAAGCCTCTGAAAGAGAGACGGGAGTCGTCCCGCCGTCCTGTGGTTGTGGTCATCAGCATGCAGAAAGAAACGCCCCTCAGTGAGGAGCTGAGGAGCATCTTCTCTCCTCCGGTAGACTTCAAAGATTCTGCAGCGCAGACGGGGGATTTGACGTCTTCGTCACAGGAACCAGCATCTGCGAGCTGCGGCCCCGCCTCTCGGCCCGACCAGTTCGTCATCGAGAAGCTGGTGCAGCTGAACGAGGAGAAGGAGGAGCGCCAGCGCCATCAGCAGCAGCAGAACGAGAAGGAGATGATGGAGAAGATACGACAACAGAAAGAAGCCCTGGAGCAGCAGAGGCTCATCTTCGCTCAGTACGAGAAAGACATGTTTGAGAAGCAGAAAGAGGAGGCCAGGCTCAGGATCGAGCAGAGCCATCAGGCCGGGCGGGACGCCACCAAAACCACGAGCCCCGTCAAAACCTCCAGACCCAGCTCCTTGCTGATGGAGAAAACCTCCCAGCAGGCTCCTCACGGCAGGACGCAGTCGGACTCCACACCTCCACCGCTGCAGTCTCCTCCAGGTCTGGACGGTCAGGGTCGAGGCCGTTACCCCCAGCTGCCCCCGCCGCCTTCATCTGCCCCCACCGAGAGGCGCAAAGACAGTCGGCCTGCCGCTGAGGGCTGGGCGCCCAAACTCACACTGGAATCAAGAGCAGGAAGCCGAGCGAAGACCTCTGCCAAGAAAATCCAACAAAAACAAGTTAGCACGGTCAGTTTGACCGATAAACCAGCAAACATCTTCTTCTCTCCCAACGACAAAGTGACGTTTACCTCGTGAGTATCCAGCTCCACATTTACCCGGAGGTCTTCATGGGTTTTGTTTCTTTGGACTTAATAAGAGTTTATATTTTCTCAAAGGCAAAATGCTCGCTTCATATGTGTTGTTGTTCTACAGTGTTAGCATGGTTCTGCTAATCAGCTAATAGCGGAAATCTTTTGTTTAGCGGATTAGCTTTTCCACAAAAAAAATTTAAGTTGGTTTTGCCAACATTATGCTGCTAACAACTAGCTAACAACAGGTTTGTGTCAGTTCCAGCAGTCTTCAGTTCCAAGGAGACGAAGACTGTGTGACAGTCGTCTTAGCGGTTAGCAATTAGCTGTTAATGTTAGCTTCCACCAATTCTTACATGTTTAGCTGTGTGTCATTAGTGAAGCTATATTTTTAGTTAATGGATTAGGAGTTAGCAAGCTAACTTTATGGTTAGCTTTGCTAACGTATGCGGTTTTTAGTGTTTTTGTCTAGAAAGCAGAGACAGACACACTCAGATTGTGTGCATTGTTTGTTTGTTTGTTTGTTTGTTTGTTTGTTTGTTTTGTCACACAGTATCTCAAAATATAAATTTACTAGAATAATTCTAGTTTGATCTTTTTTTTTCATAGTTGCAAACACACAGCAAATGGTTGAAAAACACAACAGATAAAAAATACAGAATTAATTAATACAGAAGACAATTGCTTGCTTTTGTGGTCAGTAGCTGCCATCTTGAATTCTGTATAAGACTCATCAGAGTTGCTCCCACTTGATAATGTTTATACAGGGGGGGTCTAGTTCCTTATGACTTGGTGGTCGAGTTCCCGAAGCGTCCTAGTGCACTTCTGTTTTGTGGAGCAGAGTTTGCAGTATTTTCTGTGTTTGCACCTGTTGCCCACCAGACATTGCACAGCATGTAAACTATGTGATCTTTTGGTTTTTTTAACACGGTTTTACTTTGCATCTCATTTTTAAACTGTGTCGCCATTCAAATGTTTGTTGTTGTCCTCCATCAGTTTTGACAGTGATGCGCCATCTAAAGAAGCAGCTGTTCCCAAAGAAGGACCCACGTCAGCCTCCAGGCCCTCTAAAGGAGCAAAAGCACGAGATGTGAGTGATAAATGTTATTGTTTTTCTGAGCATCTGTTTGACCCAGTTTGTGTTTGAATGAATAACTCTGGAGAGAACAGTTCATCTTGGTGTAGGAGTAGGTCACCTGCACCGACGTGAGGGACTCTGCTCTGAGATGCGCCCACAACCTTCTCACCTTTGCTGTTATCACCTCTGGTAAACTCCAGGTCGGCAGAGTGGGCCATAAAAAGAAAGCCCGAATGGCACGGACCCGCTCCGACTTCCTCACCCGCGGCTCCAGCCTTACAGCTGGGGGCCACTCGGACGAGGACGACTACGGCGGCGACAGCCTCGCCGGCTCCCGTCATTTCACACTGCCCCTCTCCAAACAGAGCTCCACGGAGGTGGGCCTGAGGGGGTCCTGTTTCAGTGACTCGGACATGGTAACGGGCGCCCTCCACGCCGCCGCCGGCCCTCTCCGCTCCACTCTGTCCAAGCGTGTGCCTTCTCTGACACTTCTAACCCCGTTCAGTGGAGCGAAAGCGTGTGTCTGCAACTCACCTCTGACTCAAACTCAACAAATTTCTGTTTTCTGAAATGAAGCTGCTGTAGAGTGGAAGACATTTCAAAGGCCTGTAGAAGCTGGTGTTTCAAAGACATTTTGAAATACCAGCTGCGTGGTAATTAATCAATAAATCATGACTTCATCGTAGAGTCTGTAAACATCTGCAGGAGTCGGCTGTGTGTTTGACTTTATGCATCACTACAGGGGACGTGTTTGAAATGTAGTTTCCTTGAAAATATCCAGTCGTTAACCTTAGTTGCTTTTCTAACAGTGTTTAACTCCTCTGAGCCTCTCAGCTGTGATTTATTCCTGATTCTTTCCCAGTAATTAGCTTCGTCTGCATGTGACTCGGATCCACTTCTCTAGTCTCTAATCAAACGCTGGAAATTCTTTTTAAAAAACGACTGAGTTTTCCTTTTCTAAAGACATAAATAATTCTTGTCTTTTCCTGAAGTTCTGCTGAATTAACCCTATTCCTGTGACAGGATGGTGCCATCTGCTGGATTAAACTTGTTCTCAGATGATCGACCATATTGAAATGAGCGTTTCTGTAACATAAACGGGTTAGTTTTGTTTTTTGTTGTTAATATTTGTCATCACTTTGTTTCAGCCTGAAAGCTCTGAGGTACAAAAGAAGTTACACAAAGCCATGTCATCAGGAGATCTGGGCAAAGTGGACTCGATGCGCAAGAATTCACAAGATGGACGGTTTGTTGTCACCTTAATTTCTCATTTTACGTTATTAGTGCTTTGATTTTTCCTAAATAAATGGAGTAGGATGATTGGATTTAGGTTAAAGGTTATTTCTGTTTTGAATGTTTGTCATACAGGATTCGGGGTAAAATGCGTTTCTGGGGCAAATCCAAGTACGGAGAAAAGAAGCCATCCAAAGAGAAGCTGATTGGTGGAGGTGATTCCTTCGATGGAGACTCTGGTGATACCGGGCCGTTACTTGGAGACAGTAAGACGTTACTGCAGAATATGTTTGAGTTTGCAGAGTAGTTTTTTTGAGCGTATGTTTGTGTGTTTTCTGTATAAAACACAGGATCAAAGCTCTTTTTTTAACTCACCCTTCCTATGTRTGTGTATACTAAGTTGYGAAAGACCMTGSACATTTGTTCCCCCATGTTTGTCATGTSTATGTGTTTCTCCGGACGGATGTTCTAAACTGCAAATTTCGTTCTGCACTGCATCTTGGTGTTGTGTGTGAATGACAATAAAGGTTCTGAGTTAAAGGTTGCAGAGACTGTTTCCAGATGGACATTTTTAGTGTTTACTCGCAGATTGTTTGGTTTCAGAGGACTCGCTTGTTTATACGATGTCTTCATCCAACAGGCCAGGAAAACACCTCGCCCCCCTACAGTCCCGACATAATCCTGGATCGAGGCTTCAGAGACCTGAAGGARAACAAGGAGCCGTCTCCCAAGGTGAAGAGGAGGAGGAGTGTGAAGATCAGCAGCGTGGCCCTGATGGAGCCCGCTCAGTGGCAGAACGACTCGCTGCAGATCCTCACCTCCATCAACGACTACAGGAGCATGAACGGCTTCCTCATGAAGAAGGTGACACGAACGTTACATCCACAGCTAATCAGGCTCTGCACGTTGCAGGTTAACTGTTGATTTGTTWTGTTCAGATCAGTGACTTGGACACRGAGGATGGTAAGAAGGACACGATGGTGGACGTGGTGTTTAAGAAGGCTCTAAAGGAGTTCCGTCTAAACATCTTCAACTCGTACTCCACAGCTCTGGCAGTAAGTGTCACAGAYGACTGAAGACTCAGACTAACTTAGAGACATTTAACATAGAGACACACCAAATGACTGCTCTGAAACCAGTACCAAACAGTTTTCCCTTTTTTGAAATGGTCAGTACTGAGAAATCTGATAGATTTGTTTTTTGGTCCATGAACACAGCAGCATACACAAAAACAATAATATAGTCAGCGTTGCCAAYTTAGCCACCGTCTCACTGGATTTAGCCAGTGGTAAGCTACATTGTAGCCACAGCTGCCTGGGGCACACTGACAGAGGCGGGGCTGCCCAGCACCAGCACCACTGGTATGGGAAGAATCGTGTGTCAGCAGAGACTGAATTTGAGTTGCTCAGATTGAATCTGAATGTGCATAATTTGAAATTGAATTTCACTGAATTGAAACTGAATTTAATGGTTTGAAACTGAATTAAAAGTTTATAATTTGAATGAATTTGCTTTGAAACTGCATCAAACACAGAGTTTACGGCTTTTACGGTGGATTGCATCAACTCTGTTACATTACAGAAGGAAGCTTCACTGACATGAAACGTAAATCTGTGGATCTGTGTTTGATTTACTCTGGCTGAATTTCTCAAGGACCAGGATGTGTGACACAAAAATCTGAATTTTAATTTTAGAACTGAAATGGAAAGTAGTCAAACTGAATGTTTAACTAAACAAAATGCAGTTTCAAAACAAATTAATTCAAATTGTAAACTTTAAATTCAGTTTCAATTTCGTAAAATTTATTTTCAAACCAGTGCATTCAATTTCAAATTATGCACATTCAGATTYAATCTRAGCAAATCGARTTMAATTCCTGCTGGCACAAGGTTCTTCCCACCGGGCCCTCTGACCACCAYCAGTGGGCAAGGCTGGTGAAGTGTCATTCTTGAGCACACAATGACTGAGACAGATGGAACGGGAGATCGAACCGGCGACCTACTGGTTACAGGACRACTCCACCACAKCCACCCAATAAAACCTCTGAATGCCCCRTGCCGTGACCCCAGCTGCAGTCAGAGCAGAGAGAAGACCCACTCACTTCACCTGCCAAGACATTTCTTTTCTGTTCTCTCTTTCTGCTCCATTTGTATTCAGAATGTTAAGTTAAAACCAGCTTTAAAAAGAAATATATATCAAAATCAAACAACCCAAATAGCTGTTGTCTCTTATAAGGACACTGCCACCCCACACATCACTTGTTTGTTTGTTTATCAGGAACCATGATGCAAGATCACATAATCCTTATTGTAGTAAAGATGTACTGTTCTAGATTATCCTCTAGCTAATTCCCATSTGCAGTGCCTAAATATAAATTTATATGTAAAATTTGATGGGTTTTTTTTAGCATGAAACCTTACAGAAAAAATAGTTTTAGGGTATGTGGCTCTAGGCAAATCGTTATTGTTATGCATCATTTAATCAAGTTTAATTACAATTTTAAACATTTAGTGTTTTTCACTGACGTTTTATCTCCAACGTTGGTATTTATCTTCTACAGCCTGGATCACAATTACATTGAAATGAGAAAATACGCAAATTAGAAAATGTTGTGTAGCAACTTTTCTTAATGAGGAGTCTGCAACAGTGCATGCCATCAGTGAAGGTTTTTCTATAATATTTATTATATTTTAAGGCAGCAGATAATCTGGATGACTTTGTAAGGGTTGGTATTCTGAAAGGAAATCTAAATTATCAGGTTTTATTAAGTAAATCCGCATCAGTATYGATCTGATTTGGTTAAAAATGAACTCAGGGTTTCTCTCAGTAGACTGTGACCTCGCTGTGTTTGTCCATAGATGGATGATGGGAAGTGTATCCGCTACAAAGACCTTCACGCTCTGTTTGAGCACATCTTGGAGAAGACCATGCGTCAGGAGCAGCGGGACTGGAGGGAGTCTCCTGTCAAAGTGTGGGTCAACACCTTCAAGGTGTTCCTGGATGAGTTCATGACTGAGTACAAATCACTGGACAATACAGTCAGCAAGGTAATCATTTCTTCTTCTTTTTTTAAATACTTTTTGCAGCAAAGTTAAACTATATGAGAGAAATATGTGTTGTATACTTTTGTTTGTGTTTATCTTCTGCAGCAGGCACCTAAACCTGAAAGCAAAAAACGGAGGAAAAAGGACACTGACATTGTAAGTCTCTTCATTCTTGTTTATTTACCACATCCTTTATATAAAAACAGACGGAACATTTTATTTTATTAGCTGATATTTCTTTGCTCTGTTTTTTTTTTTTTTTTGTAAAATAAAATAATAAAAATGCTGACATGACGTTGCGTTCTGCTGCCCTCTACAGGTGGAGGAGCATAATGGCCACATTTTTAAATCCACTCAGTACAGCATCCCCACATACTGTGAATTCTGCTCCTCTCTAATCTGGATGATGGATCGGGCCTGCGTCTGCAAGTGTGAGTGTTTTCAGCTCGACGCACCTTTGACATTTTAACCAGCATTWAAAAAGTTACAGAGAATAAAACAGGGGTAGTGTTTAAGCTAACAAAATAGGTTGTTTTGTAGTCATCAAAGTACTGTACAACTATCAAACACATGATAAAATATACATAAAACAAGACTGTCCAAACACTGAGCTGAAATAACCAGAAAGGAAGGAAATAATGTAAAGAGAAACGTGAAAAAAAGGTTTAATTAACAAAATATATTGTGAAGAAACTATTGCAACAGATTATTGCAAAAAAATCTACATTGTGGGAACCAATTTCCAGAAAACGCAGCCTCGTGGGGACCGGTCCCCATGGTTATGGATGCTAATTTAAGGTGGGGGTTCATTTTAGAACTAAGGTGTGAATTGAGTTCAGGTTAGTTTTAGGATCAGGTACCTGTGAGGTTAATTTTAGGGTAAACGGTCAGGGTCAGGATATACTGTAAAATTACCAGAAAATGAATGGAAGTCAATCACGGTCCCCACAGGGATATAAAAACAAATCTCTGTGTGTGTGTAAACTTAACTCCTGATCCAGAAAAGGAGTTCCTCCATATTAGGACTGGTCTTTGGTCCCCAAAAGGCCTACTTGTTCTGACAYGGTAGGTGTTTGTACCAGAAACGGTCCTGAAATGGTGAAAACCAGGTACACACACACACACACACACACACACACACACACAGATGTGGGTCGTGCCCAGCCTGGCCCCAGTGATTAAGCCCCGCCCCTTATCCCTCCCCAGCTTTAATCAGATTGTTTTCAACTGGACTCATGAGGTCTGCAGCTCGCCTCTCCTCAGTTTGTCCTTAATTCACTCAGAATGTTTCCTTCATGCCAGCCGAAGCCGCTTCAGTCCCTCAAATGTTAACGTTTTTTTTTTCTTCTTGTTTTTCTTTACCTGGATAATGAGGAGACACTGCCTGTCTGTGGACAGTGGGAATGACCTGTTTGATTTCTCTGCCTGTGTTCCCCCAGTGTGCCGATACGCCTGCCACAGGAAGTGCTGCCAGAAGACCAGCACCAAATGCAGCAAGAAGGTGAGTCGGCCATGTCGTGTTGAGTCACATCCCATGACTTGAATTGACATTTGAGCAGCCGCTGCAGTGAGGATACCTCAAAGCAATTGAATCATTTGGATGAATTTTGATTTTTTTTGTTTTTCATCCCGGAGCAGTTCGATCCAGAGCTCTCCTCCCGACAGTTCGGAGTGGAGGTTTCTCGCCTGACCAGCGACGAGAGGACGGTTCCCCTGGTGGTGGAGAAGCTGATCAACTACATCGAGATGCATGGCCTGTACACGGAAGGAATTTACAGAAAGTCTGGCTCCACTAACAAAATTAAGGAGCTCAAGCTGGCGCTGGACACAGGTTCGTTTTGACACCTGACTTGTAAGTCCTAGCAAACACGAGTGAGGGAGGGCAGGATTTAGGTCTGGTTGTTAAACGCTGTGTGGTTTTCATCCTCCTGGGTACCGCACTGACAGATGTGGAAAACATGACTTTGGACGACTACAACATCCACGTTATCGCCAGCGTTTTCAAACAGTGGCTGAGAGACCTGCCCAATCCACTGATGACGTTTGAGCTGTATGAGGAGTTTGTCCGAGCCATGGGTGAGTGATCACTAGAAACTGTCCACGTTTATAAATTTAGACTCTGTCATTGATGAGCTGTAGCAGTAAGTTTGTCTTGTGTGTGTGATACTATAGGTTTGCAGGATAAAAAAGAGACGGTTCGAGGAGTTTATTCTGTCATCGACCAGCTCAGCAGGACTCACCTCAACACTCTGGAACGCCTCATGTTTCATCTGGTCAGGTAATAAACCCGCCCCTGTTTTAGCTCTAGTTTCAGATCGAAGCTCGAGTCCAGGGAAGTCCTGGTTAACATTTAATTGTGCCCAGTCTGAGTCATCCAGACCCTGAATATTCTCAGTTCTAAAGTTCTTAGACATCTAAGTCCAGTTCAGGCTCTTTGTTGACAGTCTGGATGAACAAAGTGGTCCCAGAGTAGTCCTAGGTTCTGCAGAGCAGCTTGGCGTTGCTTAATGAGGCCTATCCARTGATGTTTGAATGTTCTTACTTCCTCTGAGCACATGGGTTACCACTGAAAACAACTGGAAGCTCTGGCCTCTTGTACTGTCCACATGTCTGTAGTTTTCTGTAATCTTACTACGGAACAGAGCCTTATTTGAGTCGTCTATTCTGACCCAGTGTCCTACCAACAGGAGTTTGGTTTCTATGCTCTTGATCCTGCAGAGCAGSTTATGTTTTCCATCCACAGAGCTTTAGATGGGATTGGTTCAGTTGTWTTATGTGACAGTTTATATATCCATGTTTCAGRTGCATAAAGATCTGACCAGACCTAGGCTTTRTCARGTCTCGCTGTCATCTTTTCARTTTCACTATTTTGGGACAGAAASAAAGAAAGAACACTACCGCCTTACTTTTAGCTGCTTATCGACAGGTCATAACTGAGTCTGAAGTCATCTGGTCAGGTGTGAGTCTCTTTGTGCTGCTGATGGTAAGAGCATAACGGTAGTTATCCACGATGGTCTTCAGTTCGTGTTCGGAGGGCATGAAGCTCTCTGATCAATGTTAGTGAGATTCTGTCTAAAGTTTGGTCAACGCAGATTAAATTAGCCACTAGAGGTGGGTATCATTAAGATTTTATTGATACTACTACTCTTATCAATACTGCTCATTGRTCCGGGGTTTTAACAGGCCTCTTATCGATGCTTTTCTGTGGGATTAAAACCAAAAAACGTCAGAATTATTTCATGAGTCTAAACACGACAAATCAGATTTTTTCTAATCTGACCCAGTTCTTTCAGTTGGTACTGAATCAGATACGTTTTTTTTTTACTTATTCTTATCATTTCTAATTGAAAACACAACACAAYTAACCACTTGCCYGAGTCTAAAYATTTACATATATTACAGTATATGTACAATATTATTTCCTTTGTAAATTGCCCATTTTTCCTGTTTTCTGTCCATTTGTGATTCTTCTAATTTCAGTCTGTCAGTTTTTCCATTATAAATATGTCTCCACTACTGCAGTCCATTGGTTCTTCGATGGTGTTTCCCTCTTCTCCACTTCTCTGTTGTTGCCTTTTTTGCTGCTACCAGCAGTATATTTATTAAATATTTGTCACAATCTATAGTTCCCCCCTGAGAGTTTACCTAGGTACAATACTTTGGTCTCAGTGGAACTTTCTACCCTAGAACAATTCCCAAGACAACATAGATCATTTCCCATAAGATRTATATTTTGGGGCATTTTCAGAATACGAATCAGATCCATATTTAATGTTACACTCAGCCTTCTGCAGCTCCTTTCAAATACCCTCAGGAACGACCGAGTCAGAGGCATTATTTAGGTCTACAAAGACCATGTACCAGTTGAAGTTTTCCTCCTTTACATTTCTGCTGGACTCCAGCAACAAAGATCCAGCTGCCCCCTTCCCCAGCCTGTGTGCTGTAAGATATTATTATTA